CGCGGACGCGAAGAAGTTGTTTAGGGCGAGGAGGTTCGCGTAGCCGATTTCTAGCTTGGGGACCTGCGTCCCGTCACTTGTTGTTGTCGCGTTGATGTATATCGGCTCGTGCATAGCGCCAATGGGAGCGTCGCTGAGCGTCCAGGGGTTCTTCACGCCGAAGTCGACCTCGCGCTTGTCCAGCAGGGAGAAATCGCTACCGTTCGAACGGGCGCCGGAGTACTCGTGGACGGTGAGGAAGAGAGAGCAGTCCGTGACGTTGATGTCGAGCATATCGTAATTCGGAAATTTCGGGGTCGACCTGTAGATCGCGAAACGCGTGATTTCCGGGAAGGTCTCAGGCAGCTCTAAGATGCTTTCAGATATTAATGAGGATACGCTCATATTGTAAACGGTCGCCGAGTCGGTCAGCACCTGGCGAGCTGTGAGGTTCAATCCAGCGGGCGTGGTCATGTTGCAATGTCGCCAGCCGCCACGGACCGCATCGCATGAATAGGAACGCAATGTCTCCTCCGTGACGTTCTTGCATTCGGTCCGGAACCCAAGCGAGATGTAAGACTCGGTCCAGCGGCAGGCTCCGGGGCAGCTAAACGCTTCAGCGGTGGTGATCCCATAGAGACCGCGGTAGACGGCGGACTGCATGCCGGAATCCTGTGGAATGCCGTCTGCTCAGAGCGCGTTAGCTATCTATATTTTAATGTTGGTCAATTATGTCAGGCGCCACGGAGGCTTACTGGAGTCAGCATTGACTAGGTCGTGCGTTAAGAATCGGGTGTAGTTATGAGCGTAGCCAAAGGTGACGTTGTCCGCGGGGGTTATAACATCTCGCTGCTCAATCAGAACAACCTGCTGCGTGAAGGGCGAGAATGTGAGCCGCAGAATCGTGATAAATGCGCCAATCGTGGCCAGATTCCACTTGACGGTAGTAAGTAGCAAGACAGCTCCCCAGACACCCCGACTAGCTTCGTCAAATATTTCAAAGTCCATGAGCTTGTGCGGGCCATTTTTGAAATAAAGCCACTTCAGCTGGCTGATAAAGACACTAACCCCGTGCATCAGCGCCGTGGCGCATGCGGTTGTTAGAATGGAGATTGTTGCGTTAAGAGACACGCGACCGCGCCAGGCAGAGAGAGGTTTATTATCCATGTACCAGAAGATGATCGCGATCCCAAGAAGAAGGCCAAGGGCGAGTATTGAGCTGGTGAACTCGAACAGCCATTCGCTGGGGGAATACACCGGGTGACGCTGGTAGTTGGGGTTGTTTGTGGCGGCGACATTGTCCGGGTCGGAGCCTCCTTCGGAAACCTCCGCAGGCTCAACTGGGAGCGATTTGTAATGACTGGTATTTTCGGCCATGGTGGCAGTGCGAGGCCTTGAGCCTGTGTCTGGAATTTCTTCTGAGCAATGTGATCAGGGGATAGACGAAACAGCCGAAAAGGATTGCAGCGGAGCGGTTTACATATGTCTGATTTTTTCCCAGCCCTATCAAGTTTAGCGAGGGGCTTTGACTCATTTCAGCCATGAGGCTGCTGGTCCTTGACCAAGGCGAGGCCAACTGGGACGCAATTCTGCTCAGCTCTATTTTTGCCAAGCAATGCCTCACATGCAGCTGGCTTGCAATTGGTGAGGCTGAACCCAGGACGTGCAGACACAGACACCGCCCAGGCCGCTTGGAATAATGAGGCCAAGAAGTCCTCAGCCATCAGGGGATACCCTTGGATATCATGCCCTTCCGGATGAAATGAGTTTCTAGATCTGGAAGCCGCAACCTGAGCGGGGAATTTTCTTATATCTTCAGCCGCCAGGCACCTCAGAATCATGAATGGGCTTGATGAGCGCCGAAGGTTACGGAAGAATACGTGTCATATGTAATTGGAGAGAAAATTAGATTAGTCTGGTTTTCTGAAGTAGTGTAGAAATAAGTAATATAAATATAATAGGGATTAATAGATTAACTAAACCTAAATAGGAAGGAGATAGGGAAAACTTTTATAGTACGTAGCAACTAGTTAGAAATTAGTGGTAAAGTCCGCCAATCAATGAACTGTGGTGACCCTTGCGGGTCATCGTAATTTCCAAGGTTTCCCGGCTGACACTTGATTCCTCCCAGCTGAGGACAAGACGAGGAGGACCGTGACATGACTGGGGACATTCCCTGCGAATCCTCGTATTGACCCCACAGCGATGTCCTTGGCTTCGCTGGGCGGCGCGAAGCTCACCTCTCAGCGAGGTGCAAGGACCCCGCCCAGCACGGGCTCACCCCGTGTTGCGGCCGCTACGTACATAGTGGAGTCGCTCTGGCTATTATGCTCTGCTCTTCCGGATAATCTCCTCATGTAATTTGACCTGTGTCTGGTTCTTAGCGGATCTGGCCGGTTTTCACAGGCTCTGGCACGTTCAACTTCAGCGCACGGCCGGCCCACAGAAGTACGGCCGTCAACGTTGAAAATAGAGCATGACATTCTCTCCGACCTGTGGCGTGGAACAAATACACCTTATTGCAGCCACGGAGGTTTCCCCCGCGAAAAGTCCCCTTCACACGCAGCATCCACACATTGCGCAAGGCTGCCGAAAACGAACTGCCTCCCAGTAAGACCGGGTCCATAATGCGCATATTTCGCAGAGTTCGTCATGATTGCTTTATCAGATGCCAGTATTATCGGCTCCCCGATCATACACCAGCATGTGTCCGTGACAAACTGGACGCCGAATTCCTCCAGGGCGTCAACGAGGCCAGCCTGTGTGGCTAGGCTGTAACACGCCCGGCCGCATGTTACAATGACTGTCACGGTTTCTCGTTTCCGGCGGCTGTGGCAGAGTTGCGTGAGTTGGCGCATTTCCTGAAATGAGAAGTGCGGGTTCCCGAGGGATATTAGTCCGACCTCTTGACTGAGTAATGCGCTGTTTAGTTGGTCCCAGCAGGAACTCAACGCATCGAGGCTGATGCAAATACTTTGGATATCTCGGCCTTTGCTGAGGACCGCATCGAGGGTTGTGGCCTCGGGTGTGACCCCGAGGATGTGGAACATGGGGGCGCTAGACACTGTCGCAAACGCTGCGCCGAACGCCTTTAGATTATCCCGGGTCGGGGCGAGAGATGAGATCCCCACAATAACAGGGATGCGGTTCGCAGCGAGGTTTCCAACGTGATACCCAAGCAATGGATAGAACGAATCATCAATGTCTCGAGGCTCGCTAACCTCTGTAATCGTAACAACAAGCGACGCAAGTCGGTTTACGTCAATATGCGGCCCTCCCCTGGGCGCGCGACCCGTTAAAGCAATGGCTATATCCAGGAAATCAGGGTACTTCATGGTCCGCGCACCCAGTACACTATTAGCATAGACCACAGCATTCGACTCAGCCCACGCGACCTGCTCGCCGAATTTCGGCGCCGATTCCAGTTGATATGGGGCGCATGTAAAGGTCGGTCGGGCGCCCATGTCTATGTACGCCTGTGCAAGCGATTGGGCGTTTTTGGCGAAGGCTGGGTCGATCCCTTGCGCGCGCCAGCGATTTAAGTCGATTGATATTGAGTTGAGGGATGTTGGAACCCGGACGCGGCCGCCGCAGTCACGGAGCTTTTCTGCGACGGCAAGGGACGCTGGTCCTGTGTATAGACAGCCATCAACATGGACTTGGGAGACGTCCATTAGCGAGTCGGCGCCGAGCACGCTTGCCATTCGTAGGATGATTCGCATCGAGACAGCCGCAGCCTCGCCGTGGGCGCCTTCGAGCATCGCCCGGTCAATCGGGGAAAGGCTCGCAGGGCCGTCATGCACTCTGGGTGGCCCGCTGTCGATACCTGGACCATAAGAACAGCCATTGCCATTCTTGCTACCCTTGTTGCTAATCGTCACGCACCCACCGCTAACCACTACGCAGGCACCACCGCCAAACCTAAGAACCTGGCGAAAGTCACTCGGGCACAGCCTCACGATCGGAATACTTAAGCCGAAAATCTCCTCAGCAACCATAACCCCCAGCGTGAGTATATCCTCCCGCTGCTCGAAAATAATTGCATTTGGCCCCTTTCCATTCCTTAGCAGCTCGAGCACCACCGCGCTCGCGGAGCACGAGCCACGACCACCGGGGATGGCGAGGACGGAATGCTGCAGATAGCGAGCGCTCAGTTCGTGGTGCCGGTCGACGATTTCCCCCGTTGAGGGATTCACTCCGCCCCAGAAACTTAGCGCTGAGCTGCTGGCGAGGAGTGGGCCGGTGGCGTGGCCGTTTATGTAGGCTGTTCCGTGGAATGTTGATGCTGTTCTTGATGGGTCGCTTGTCATGTTTGCGACTGCAGGAAGGGGGATATAGTAGGGTTAGCCAAGATATGTCTTAGACCCTGCAAAGGATAGTTGTGTAGTTTAGGGGAAGACGTATGATCGGATGGTATACTTTCAACAGGCACGCGATGAGGATGATTACTGACCAGGGTGGCGATGGATTCCCCAACTACCAAAGTAACCAACCCCGCGCCGGGAGGCAAGTGTACCAGACCCATTGAGGGAAAGTCGCTCCAATATCTACTACTACCAGCTGAACCCTCTCCCAACTTTCTGAGGTATGGATTTACGTCTTGTCTGCTCTGCTATTATCCCGGCCGCGCATCGTTGGATTCAATAATGTGACGTCTGCCCTGGGAACAGCGAAAGAAAGCCACAGCATGTGGTAGTCGCTGCCAACTCAGAGAATGTGTAGTGCAGTCAAGAAAGCAAGGCTCTATAGGCATTTTGCCATTACAAGCATGTTGCAGTCATAACAAGGAAAATTAGCAGCTGAACTTGGAAGTTTTAGCTCTCGTCAATGAAGGAAGGATGCTGCTCATGACTCAAGACATCTTGAATACCCTGTTAAACACCATCTGTAGAGAGAAACATTGCCAAGTCTCTCTCCTACCAAATTGTCGCATGGAATAAGAAGCAATGACAATCTTACGTTGAAAAAAAAAAAAAGAGAGAGAAGACACAGCAGCCAGCTGAGAAAAAAAAAAAGCGAAATGGGATGAACCGGGATTGAACCGGTGACCTCGCGATTCCAAATGATGGACCAAAGTAGGCTTCAGTCGCGCGCTCCTGATAAGGCTGTTAATGACTGGGTTGTGATTGCGTACAAAAGTGGATACATACTCCCAACTGAGCTATCACCCCGTTTAATCAGGCCAATGCTTCTTATTTTTAATCCATATAGCATGCTCTTAGCCCACGATCAGGGACATCCTCACTGCCCTTCAATCTAAACCAATAACTAGGCGCTGTTAGAAATTACGGGACTTTGAATGCTGCACAAATGACTCAATGAGGAGGACGTCCATTTACATGTTGACTCTATGGTTGCTGTCGTGTGCTTGCCACAATGCTCTGTCCACTAGAAACCCATTCCCGTGCTCCGAAATATATAGTTAACCTATCGCTTGGCACTGAAAGGGGTTGCAACTGTGGCCAGCGGATGTCCGTAGACAGGGTATGCATATGATCAATCTCAGTGACATAAATTCCATTATTATCCCCAGATGCCACATAATTCTAGTCCCTCTTATGTGCAACGACAAGGTACTTGCAACCCAGTAGGGTACAGACCTGCGACATGGCGGACCTTCCTGATCCGGACTAGGCTCGGCGGACGCACTTCCCCAAATCCGACAACGCCGCTCCAGCTCCGAAACTCCAACACGCCGTTTTCGCGTCACCAACAATCCTGTTTCCTGCTTCTTGTGATACCCAGGTGCGATCTGGCAATGGAGCTCACATTTCTAATCGGGAAAGATGGAAGGAATGTAAAGCGGCCGCAATCTCACCGCGCATGCTCGCTGTGTCGCCAGAGAAAGGTACCGTTGCTCCTCGTTCTTGGCGGCTTGCTGAGCCAGCTGACATGAGTAGAAACGATGTTCTCACAACCCATCCTGTCTCCGGAGATCCTCTCCACGGACTCCAAAACATCTGCATATCGCTCCGCAAAGCGACCCATCGTCTGCACAGACGTCGCCGCAGAGCAGTACTCAACAGGGGCTTACGATTTCCTCACGGACCAGTGTGTCGGAGGCGCATACTGGCCCCGAAGATCTGGACCTTGCTGGCCGTCATTTCCTTTGCGATACCAACCCGGTGGTTGGCCTGATCGAGGATCGCGGGTCGAGACTTCACCGAGGTCGATCTGACAGAGGCGACGTGGGCGCGTGGGTAGATCAGAGCCACACGTCCAGTCCGGCAGCTGTTGATCGGAACTCTCCGCTCCTCGGGGGAAATGATTTGGACAATCAACATCATGTTGGTGATTCCAACCCCGTTGTTAGCCTGCTTGACGGTAAGCAGCCGGGCCTTCAGCGCGGTCACGGTATGCAAGGTGTAGTAGGCGCCTGGTTCGATCAACGCACCGATTCTTCGCCGCGCAACGGGGATAATGAGCACGAAGGTGGGCAAGCAACGGGGAGCAACAGAGGCCCAGCATTGCCTCCTAAAGCTGACAGGGAAATACTGCTGAACATATACTTTGATCGCATTCATTCGTTACTTCCACTGCTTGATGAGGATGAGGTACGGTCGCAGGCCTCGCTCGGCACATTATCTATTCCACTGCTACAAGTGATCCTTCTTGTGGCCTCGAAAGACCGGGGCGCAGCGCCTTTCCTAAGACTCGGGTCGGACGCAGCAGTTCTACGGCTGGAGACATTCAGCGAGCGTATCTACAATGACATATTGAAAAACATGCCCCGAAAAGAAGAAAAAAAGCGGATACTTACTATTCAAATCCTCACCCTGTTGTCGCTACACGACTGGGGCTCCGATGGAGCAGAGGAATCCTCGCTACACCTCAATCAAGCTATCCACCATTCTCAAACAATCGGGCTGCACCACCTATCAACCCCAGAGCGACAGACAAAACCATCCCTTAAGGCACTGTTCTGGTGTCTGTGGAGTCTCGATAAATGGAATGCCGCGATTAATGGGCGAGCGATCATGATCAACGACTGCGATCTGAGCCATGGGGTGCAGAGTGCGATTCCCATGTTTGAACCACCATTCCAGGTCTGGCTCCATCTTGCGGAGCAGCTTTCGAATGTGATCAAGGCCTATCGCCCTATGGCGGAGGGGGTGAGCAACGATGAATTGGACGTCCTCACCTTCGAAGAGCTCATTGATCGTTCTGCTGCGTGGGACATCCGGCCTGAACTACTCGGTAAGAATGGCTGCACCGGGTCTGTTGAAATTATCTAATGATCAACAGATTCGTTCGAGTTCTTTCACCATGCCGTTGTCTTACTTTCTACCTATTCAAATGGCCTACAGGGACGGTCGCATACCCGAGTCTCGACTATTCGCCATAGCCACTCAGTCATGACCCTGGCATCGCTGTGTCGGGACAAGGATGTGAGAGATTTGCCGCCCTTATCAATGTCCGCATATACGCTGTCACTTGTGTTCTCGATAACATACAAGATGTGCAAAACGTCGAAGCTGCAGAGTGTGAGAATGCAAGCGAGGCGTAATCTGGAGATGTTCTTCACACGCCTACAATCGCTGAGCTCGACTTGGTGGCTAGCTGCGATTATGACTAGCCTTGGTGGTCGTGCAATGGAGAGTCTAGGCCGTCAATATAAGATATCGTATAATAATGCCTCTGAGGAGATCGGAGTTCCAGCATCATCTCGCTGCCAGAGCCAGTTGCCGCCCGGTCATTGGACGACACGCCCATCAAATTCTCTCATGCTCGACAACCCTACCGATACTGGGGACATCCCTAATAGATATCCTCACGAACAAGGAGGACCACTGGCTGGGCTGGATCCTTTCGAACATTCTGCTTTCGCACCTGCCGACGCTGAATCATTCGACCTGTTCCTGGACAACTTCCCCGACGTCAATTTCTCCTGCTCCGCAAGCGACCAGCTATTCTGGGATATGGGATCATGATTTAGACTGACCCTTAAATACGATAGCTCGTATTGAGCTGCGGGCATGAATGCCAACACCCGGCTGAAGTCTGAGAAGCTTGCCTAGGGCCGCATCGAGATAACCCTGGGAGGCGGCATTCTTGCCTATGGGGCAGGCCAGTCAATCAATGTCCACAATTGTTATATTTGTATACTGAGCTCCCTTGAGTGAAGCTTGAGACCTCTTTCTTGGCCATGGAATCTGTGAATTCACTCTCGATTCCGATCTTCTCCATCTGTGGCTTCCCGACAATCTCGGAACTCCATGATTGAGCGTGCTGAGAGGAATGCCCTTTCCTCTGGTCACTCGCAAGAACCAACCTCGGCAAAAGATCCCGAAACGATTTAAAAATGCAACCTCGTGTTCTTCTCGTATCTATATGCCACAACGAGTTTCGAGATGTAACAGTGCCGATCCAGATCGACACGGCGATCGCCCATGCAGCTCGTATTGTGAAGAAACGATCCCCTATTTTTGGCATCGTATCCGGGAGTCTCCACACAGATCGTGTTCAACCCCGATGCTTGAGGTTAACGACGAAGATGATTAACATGACAACCCCAAGCTAGGATCGTCACAGCGTGGCATGCGCATGTCTGCTCTGCTGATAGGTCGCTGGGATTGATACCGATTATTGGTGCATGAGACGCGATTTGCGAGCTATCTTTAGAAACGAGCGAAGGGCCCTGAATTCTGCTTGGCAACAAGAGTGCTTAGTGGTGCAGGGCATTGGACCCCCAGTATAGATCACGACACGCATGATACTTGTGTTTCTTCGAATCAAATAGCCGACTAAGGCCATGCGCCTGATGGTTGCCGTCGCTCCCTGCTGCAGCGGGTGACCAAAGGGGAGAGGGGAAACGAGGTGATCTGCAACATCGGAAAATAACCAGCAACGTGCTCGTGCTATAGGGTGTGAGCCGAGGAGACAAAATACCAGGTTTCATCTTCGCGACCCCTTGCAAGCGACACTCTTGCCACTGGTTTTTGTGCAGTAGGCAATATCAGGGCAGACCGTGGAGTAAGGGATACTGCATGCTGCGAGACCAACAGCATCTTCCTCGTGTTATGCGACAATGAAGTGCTGTTTTATGTGGATCACCTCGTAAAAGGTCGCTTTGATGAGTACTCAGCACTACCCTCCAAGATCATCGCAAGGAAAGATCGCCGCAGCCGGACAGAAAAGATCGTATCCTGAAGGTATAAAAGCTTTCAACATTCCGCCGCTGCTGGTCTTCATCCACAACCCCATCCTCCAACGCGCCGTCGAAAGCAAGCACAACCTCACAACTCTTGTCGAAAACAACACCGCCCTCTTCTCCTCTCCATCTCCATTATGCATCTCAAGAACCTAGCCCTCGCCCTCGCGGCAGTCCTCTCCACGGCCACCGCATACCCCATCACTGGTGACAACGTCAACTGCCGCGCCGAACCTACTACCAACTCTGACGTCGTCGAAGTCTACGCAAAGGGCACCGACGTGAAGCTCGAATGCCAGACCCACGGCGAAACCGTCCTCGGCACCTCTCTCTGGTCGAAGACCACCGACGGCTGCTACGTCACCGACTATTACGTCAAGACCGGTAGCACCGGCATGGTCACTGATGATTGCAACGGTGGATCCGGTGATGGCAATTCCTCGTATAACGGCGAGATCTCCCGCGAGGAGATCCTTTCCCGCGGACAGTACTGGGTCGACCGCAAGGTTCCCTACTCGATGAGCGCGACATACCCGGACCAGCAGGGCCGGAAGTACAGGACTGACTGCTCGGGCTTCGTATCAATGGCTCTGCATGCGTCGTCACCCGGTTTCAGCACGGTCAGCATGACTGAGATTGCCAAGTCAATCTCATGGGACGATATCCAACCCGGTGATTTTGTTGGAACTCTGGGCTCTGGCACTGGTGGTGCGGCTGGGCATGTCACGCTGTTCCACTCGTGGGCTGGCAGCGACAAGAAGGAATACAACACGCTTGAGTGCCGCGGTACTTATGGCTGTGTCAAGTACAAGCGACCTGTTGGGTGGAAGGTTGGCAGCTACACGGCCAAGCCGTACCGGTACATCCGCGTCAAGGACTAAGTCACATGTGGGAGACACTGATGTGGAGCTGGACCGCGATGGAAGTGGTTCTCGGGCAAGTTACGTGTATATAGCTTTGTTGACAATGACCCGCTATCTGGGTACGCTTCTGTGGACTTTTCTTGTTTTGTTATGCTTT